CCTGCATACAGGTTTCTCAAGAGGCAGGTCAGATGGTCTGGTATTCCCATCTCTTTCAGAATTTTCCGTAGTTTATTGTGATCCACACAGTCAGAGGCTTTGGCGTAGTCAATAAAGCAGAAGTAGGTAGATGTTTTTCTCGAACTCTCTTGCTTTTTTGATGATCCCAGGGATGTTGGCAATTTGATCTCTGGTTCCTCTGCCTTTTCTAAAACCAGCCTGAACATCTGGAAGTTCACGGTTCACGTATTGCTGAAGCCTGGCTTGGAGAATTTTGAGTATTACTTTACTAGCGTGTGAGATGAGTGCAATTGTCCAGTAGTTAGAGCATTCTTTGGCATTGCCTTTCTTTGAGATTGGAATGATAACTGACCTTTACACACACATATATATGTATATATATACACACACACACACATATACATATACACACACACACACACACACATATATATATATAAAACTGAATCTCTGTGCTGTATACCTGTTAGTTAGTAAATCAACTATACTTCAATAAAAAAATAATAAAAATTTGTTAAAAGGTACTGTGTTTTACACTGATGCCCTTGCCTTCTGAAAACCTCTTACTCTGTAAGAAAGACAGATTAAATTAGGATGTGTGTACAAGAAAAATCCATGTGCTTACAGAAGAGATGAATAAATAATCCTTACAGAATGTTCAAAATGTCATACTTCAGAGCAGAAGGTGGGAGGCACTGTGTAGTAGGTATGGGAAGAAAAGAGGGACTCATAACCACTAATTATCTACAACCAGTTTATCCTGGATGAACAACAGTTTTAAGCTAGTAACAATCAATTAAACAAATCTGCAATAAAGTCAATCATTACTAATAATACCAGCAAGAGTAATAATAGTGACCTCCTACTGGCATATTCCAGCCCCTGGGTTAGACCCCAGATTTCAAAGACAATTAGATAGAGCTCTGCCCTAGAAAGGTTCAGATTCCAGTCAAGTTAAGAAGTAACTAGATCAATATTAAGCAGAAATATGAATGATATACTAAGGGGTATCTGAAATCATTCTGTTTATTTTTCAAGCTGCTTTTAACTTGGCTTCCACTTGTGCACTATTTCCTGCCAAAACCAGATTAGAAATGCTTCTGGCAGCTGCTGGCTAAGAATGCAAACTGTCCCCTTGTCACACAACAGCTGCTGGGCTCAAGAGCAAAGTGCCCGGCACAGTACACTGGAGGGGGACACACAAGTAGGGTTTGTGCTATAGATAAGAAAACAAACCTCTCAGAAACAGACTGTTTCCAAGTTAGAGTACAAAAAGACAGCGTTTCCATTAAAATGACTTTCCTGGGTAATAAAAAGGATTTTCAAACTTGACTAATAGTTATTTCAAGAAATATGTGAAAGGAATTCGCAGCAGCATAGATGGACTTAGAGATATTCATACCAAGTGAAGCAAGTCAGAAAGAGAAAGACAAATACCATCCGATATCACTTATATGTGGAATCTAAAATATGACACAAATGAACTTATCTGCAAAACAGAAACAGACTCAGAGAGAACAGATCTGTTGTTGCCAAGGGGGAGGGGGCCAGGGGTCAGAGGAGAGATGGATTGGAAGGTTAGATAGTAGATGCAAACCATTATATACAGAATGAATAAACAAGAAGGTCCTAACTGTACATAGCACAGGGAACTATAGTCAATATCCTGTGATTAATCACAGTGGAAAAAAACATGAAAAAGAATGAATATATATGTATAACTGAATCACTCTCCTGTACAGAAGAAATTAACACAACATTGCAAATCAACTGTACTTAAATAAATTTTTAAAAAGAAATACATGATGGCATTAAATTTTAGGGTAAAAAGAAAATGTAGGTATTTTCTTAGATTTACAATAATAAATGTTACTGTGAGAGCCTAAACTAATAATTATTTCTCCCAATACACAACTAAACTTTATTCTGGTCTAAACAGAGAGATACCCTAAGTCATATACTCTAGATCTGTACCTAATCAATATGGTAGCCACCGACACACTTGGCTATTTAAATGTAATTAATTAAAATTAAAGGAAATTAAATTTTTAGTCCCCCAGCTATACAAGCCACGTTTCAAGTGCTCAAAAGCCACACAGGACAAGTGGCTGCTATGTTGGATGGCATAGACATGGAACATGAAAGTTCTACTGGACAGTCCAAGTCCAGATAATCATGTTTCTGTTCTGAAGCTAAGATTATTAACAAGAGTCTATTATTACCTATCTATTATTTCAAGAACCTATTATTCAAAACTCAAGGGGTACAAAAAGGTATAAAGGAGAAAGCTTCCCTCTCTACTCCTGTTCTTGGTTGCCCAGTTTCCTTCCCCAGAGGGAACAACAAACAGATTCAGTTTCTTGTGTTTCTCTTCAACAACATTCTACACATGTGTAAACATAGACACATACATCATTTTCTCTATCCCTTTAACATAAGTCATAATAAACACATTGTTCTGCACCTGGATTTTTAATTTATGGCTGATTCATGTCAATGTATGGCAAAAACCACTACAGTATTGTAAAATAATCAGCCTCCAATTAAAATAAATTAAAAAAAATAAACATTTAGCAATTGCTTTAACCAAAAAAAAAAGAAATAAAGAAAGAAAAATACAACTGAGGGATCATTCAATATCAACAAAGAGCACTCCTTTTTATTGCTGCATAGTATTCCACTGCTGTGACTATACCATCCTTTTTGAACTAGTTCCTTCGATAAACATTTTAGGTTGCTTCCAGATAACCAAGTTCATATAGTTAAAAAACTTCCCAGGCCCCATTTTCAGCAAGCAAAACTACTTTAAAAGTAGTTTTTCAGTTTGTTTTTTCTGACAATACCAAGACTAACCATATTCCTTATATATATGTATAACTGAATCACTCTCCTGTACAGAAGAAATTAACACAACATTGCAAATCAACTGTACTTAAATAAATTTTTAAAAAGAAATACATGATGGCATTAAATTTTAGGGTAAAAAGAAAATGTAGGTATTTTCTTAGATTTACAATAATAAATGTTACTGTGAGAGCCTAAACTAATAATTATTTCTCCCAATACACAACTAAACTTTATTCTGGTCTAAACAGAGAGATACCCTAAGTCATATACTCTAGATCTGTACCTAATCAATATGGTAGCCACTGACACACGTGGCTATTTAAATGTAATTAATTAAAATTAAAGGAAATTAAATTTTTAGTCCCCCAGCTATACAAGCCACATTTCAAGTGCTCAAAAGCCACACAGGACAAGTGGCTGCTATGTTGGATGGCGTAGACATGGAACATGAAAGTTCTACTGGACAGTCCAAGTCCAGATAATCATGTTTCTGTTCTGAAGCTAAGATTATTAACAAGAGTCTATTATTACCTATCTATTATTTCAAGAACCTATTATTCAAAACTCAAGGGGTACAAAAAGGTATAAAGGAGAAAGCTTCCCTCTCTACTCCTGTTCTTGGTTGCCCAGTTTCCTTCCCCAGAGGGAACAACAAACAGATTCAGTTTCTTGTGTTTCTCTTCAACAACATTCTACACATGTGTAAACATAGACACATACATCATTTTCTCTATCCCTTTAACATAAGTCATAATAAACACATTGTTCTGCACCTGGATTTTTAATTTATGGCTGATTCATGTCAATGTATGGCAAAAACCACTACAGTATTGTAAAATAATCAGCCTCCAATTAAAATAAATTAAAAAAAATAAACATTTAGCAATTGCTTTAACCAAAAAAAAAAGAAATAAAGAAAGAAAAATACAACTGAGGGATCATTCAATATCAACAAAGAGCACTCCTTTTTATTGCTGCATAGTATTCCACTGCTGTGACTATACCATCCTTTTTGAACTAGTTCCTTCGATAAACATTTTAGGTTGCTTCCAGATAACCAAGTTCATATAGTTA